CAGGAACCCAAGCCTTTTTAAAGACAAGGCTGGCTGAGGCCTCGCACTTGCTTCGCTGTGAGAAATTTGCCTACCAGTCCTACATAGCTTTAGGCGACCTAAGGTGACTTGGATTATTATTCAAGATTCAGTTCGAAAACCTATTAATTTGGTATATACTCAATAAAAGCAGTAAATCTGTACGTCTGTCTACAAAATAATGTATTAAGAGTCTATGATTCCCCTTAGAGAGTTAGTTCTGATATAGCTAAAAAATATGAGGTGTTGGATGGGGATGTGTATTCTCAACCGGACTATACAGTTGCCGGCTTCATGCTGAATGCACCTGATGTACATTTTTGCATTTGTGGGTGTGCTGTCTGACCAATTTTATTCAAAGGAGTCAACTTCCGCTTTTCCCTAAGCCTGAACACTAAAGATAAGCAGATAAACAGGTATATAGGTGGGTGGACGAAATAAAGGTGACTGACCAGTGCATCGTCCTCCGTAAAGATAGAATCGAAGGCGAACATTTTAGGAGCATTAGCACCAAGTCGATGACGGTTTGGCGTCGGGTCTGTTAGCATGACGTGGTGCCTTCGCGAATCCACTGTAAGACAAGTGCCGGAACTAGTTCCTCTGCTGCGCGAAGATGAGGCCGTTGGCAAGAGAGAGGAAACAGCGGAGAAGCCAGAAGATGTGAGGTGACTGGTCGGATGGCGGATGCAAAGTAGAACCTTGACCTGCCCGTTCGGCAAATATAAGAAATAAAGGTCTTATGAAAATCACGGAGGGTGTAACGTTTCAAAAATATTTCGAAATATAAGGGATAATTAGAGCCCAATAAAGAGCAAGAATATTACTGTACATAGTAATACATAGCATTTGCTTAAAACTACCTCCAAAGTCACTCATGCTCACTGGTAAATACTTCTGTAATTAAAGAATGCACAAGAGTATAGAGAATGTTAAGGTTATAACTGGGGCAAACCACATGCTAAGGCAATACTACAACAACTTAATTTTATGAGATGTATTCACCCTATTTCGTGAAAAGGTGATGAAAGACTGGTAGTAGAGTTTTCCCACAATGATATGAGTTGAGCTGACGTTTCCATTGAATTTCACATAGCCTTGCTTTTCCAAAAGTTGTTCTCATCCGGTGGACTGCAGTTTTGACCTCGCATTGGTCTTATCAATACCCTCAGCGGGATTCGAACCGTGACAGTGCAGGACGGTAGCTTGATACGCTAACCACTCGGCTACACTGCCACGAGTACCCTTGAGCCACAGAGCATAAGTGAATTTTAAGGAAGGTCAGGCCTCTGCTATATCATATTCTTTTTGGTGGGAGTGCCGATGAA